CCAGCTCCAGGTTGAGCTGTTGTTCAGCATCTTAGCTGTAGAGGGCAGTGTCACTGGCCCTCATATGTGGGATCTGAACCGGGACCCTCTGGCGTCCCAAGCCAATTCTTAACCATCGTGCCACTTGGCCGGCCCAGTCATCCATTTTTTCATTCAGCAAATGCACACTGAGCAGGGTTCAGTGAGAACAGGCTTTAAGAGTGTCTTGGCTTCATGGAACTTTCAACGTAATTGAGAAGACAGACAAAAAGCAAGCGAACAAATAAGCAGTTTCTATGGTGGTAAGACACAGAATAACAACTGTTAGAAATTTCAGAAGTAAAACACAGAGATGGGAAAAAAAGTTTGTTAGCCACTTTCAGCTTTCAGAGCCAGCTCAAGGCAAGAGCAAGTGGAAAGCAGGAAGCAGTGGGGAGCCATGGTTGGTTGTAGAGTGGCTTCTAGTGGCTTCTGGCATTGGTCCTCTTCTCTGTGGAGTCATCTCTCCTTTGCTCTTCAAAGCATGATCTGGAATAGCAACTTTCTCTGGGCTTCTGTTGAAAGGCGAAATCAAAGTTTGCATAGTTTCAGGGAGTGAGGATGTTCAGGCAGTCGGGAGGGGAGAGAAGAGAGATAAGTATTCTTAAAACAAGAAATGTCTAGATAAGAACATGAGGTGTCCTTGCAAGAAGAGGGTTAATTAAGTGTCTTTTTGTCACATCCAAGCAGTCTCAATGAAATTTTTTGTTTTTACATTTATCAGACTGAATAAACTAGAGCTGTTTAACAGTTTTGTTCTTCAAGAGCTGAGCAATCTTGAGAAGGATATTCTAGCTCTGAAACACCTGGAGGAGGGTGTTCTGGTAAGTTCCTTTTGTTTAGAACATTCTCTGACTTAGGAGACTCTGTTCCAGGGTAGGATAACTGCTTACTACTTAAACACAACTTTTGTTCAATTTTAGGAATTTTGGCGGAGACAGTGTGATGATCTGAAATCCTTCTGTGATCTGCAAGTGCTGAGGTATATTTTTTTTTAAGTCTTCTTTCTAGAAGTATCTTAGTTGAATGAAGTATAAGTAATGCTTTAGCTAGAGTGTGGGTGGTTGATTTTCATACAACTTCATGTAAGTGGCTAAATATTTGCTTCTTTTCAAGCCAGCCACTTCTCTGACACTCCCTGAGCACAGAGTGTAGCTTAGGACATCAACCTAGAAGTGTGAATTTTGAAAACCATAAACAGGATCATCCAAATGTCAGTGTTTTTGATCCAAATTGTTTTATCTTTCAGCAACAGTTTAAATTAAAATGAATAGATTTTGAGCCAAATATTTAGACTTCTGAGTAAATAGTTGATTTTCAGTTATATACTAAATTGTGTTCTTGATAGGATATATTGTATGTATCCTATATGTATATATATTTAAATGCATATCTATATATCAAACATCAAATGGGTTTATCGTACCTCACATTCCTTTTGCTGTGATTACTCTGTGTACATTCTGAGGTCACACTTTGATTCATTCAGAATGTTGGGCCATTTTCTGGAGTATAGGGAGTGGGTAAGGGAGAGTGAAGCCCTTTACTCCTCTACTTCTGCCCTGGGAGAAATTCTAGTTTTCTTTCTGCTTGAACAACCAAAAGGAATTCCTATATCAATTTGCAACGACTAAAGCTTTATCTACCAGTTGAGGATCAGTGTCTGTCACAGAAATCCAAGTCAAATGGTTTTAGGAAGGATATTATTCTGATTCCACCATATATTTCAAACAACAATAACAACACTTTTGAAGTTTGAGTTATCCATCCTCTTTTATTCCATTTAACACAATGATAATGACAGTATAAACTATAAATTTTCAAAATTCTTTCATACACACATCTCCCTTCCTGTACATTATGCATGATTAAAGGGAATATGCTTTTAAAACCTCTTCACTGAATGCCCCAGGTTGTTCTCACACTTTTTGGAATTAGAACCGCTGAACACTTTTAAAGTTAATTAAAGATTCCCAAAGAGCTTTTGCAGTATGGGTTATCTCTATGAACATTTCCATATTAAAAATTGAGACTGAGATTTAAAACATATATTTATTTAAAAATAACCAATAAATCTGTACATATTGATATAAGTAAAAATTGTTATGGAAAAAATAACCAGACTTCTCAAAACAAGAAACATGTGAGAAGAGTAGCATTGTGTTACATTTTTGCAAATCTCTTTAATGTTTGGCTTCATAGAAGACAGCTACATTCTCATCTCTGCTTCTGAATTCAATCTGTTGTGATATCTCACATGTAGCCTCCTTAAAACTCAACTGTATACTTGTGAGAGAATAAGAATTTAAAAAGCAAATAACTTTGGTAAGTGTGGTTACCACTTACCAAAATAAATTTTGACCTCACAGAACCTTAGGAAACTTAGTTTCCTTAGAGGTCCCCGAGGAAAGGGGGTCCCCTTGGGATTCCAAAGGTTCACACTTTGAGAACTGCCAATATAAAGCAACACTATAATAAGCATTAGAGAAGATTATACCCTCTAGTTTTCTGAAACCTGGAGAATTCAATTATTTTGATTGAACCCCAGATTTGGACAACTGTCTCTTCAGTTCATACAGAATACATTATAGAATATTAACTACCATTTACATTCATTTCCCTTGATAACATACCCTGTGTGAATTTAGAATACCTCAAAGAACAAAAATGGCTTCTAAATATACATCTCTCAGGGTTTTGCCTTTGTTCTCCCGTCTTCCAAACACCTCAGGACACCACCATGTGGCTTGCGGATGAGAGATGATGGTGATGCCCTCAGCTCACACTGAGTGAATGCTGACGGCACTAGGCTCTGGGCTAAGCGCTTGAAGTTCCTATGAGACTTAGAGAGGTCACTTAGCTTGGTTGAGATCCAGGATCTGGTCGGTATCCAGGGACTGTCCTTTTGTCATGTTTGCATGTCAGTGTTCGCTTTACATATTTTTCTAGGGAGATTAGAGGGACATTCTTCAGACTAGATTACTTCAGCCCGTAGCACAGTGTTACAAAAAGATCGGGAGTCATTGATTTGAATGGTGGTCATGAGATACCTCTGTATATGTTGTGACGATGCATAAAATAGAATCAAGTAAAATATTAATCTCTTGTGTTAATATCCTGGATTGGCCATTGACCCTCCTCAGCTAACATCCAGTAACATAACAATCTATGAAATAATTGTATGGTATATGTATGTACATATATGTGTATTTTTATTTTTCAATGGCCTAATGTGAATATAATGAGATGGTCTAATTTCTTCCAGGCTTAATGCAATTCAGCGTTCATGAGGAAAGCTAAAGTCCAGTTATATTATTGCATTCCTAGGGTAGGTACGAAGGTTTGCTTTGTTTAGTCGATGTGAATCGAGTGGGGGGAAGCAAGCATTGAAAGATACTCTATGTAAGACTTTGTCCATATTACGGCCTTTCGACTGAGCGTCCTTTTCTTTCACAAATCTCCCATCCTAACAATTATCCTTTTGGGTCTGGGTCATTCATTCATTCAGTAAGCATGGACACATAATTGAGTGCTTGCTCTGCATCAAGCAGTATGCGAACATGGAAATAAACAATGGTTAACACTCAGACATGCTCCCACCCCTGTAGGAAGACAAAAAACCAAGCGAACAAAATAATTGCAAGTTTACTAAGTGCTTTGCGGGATACTAACAGACTGCTGTGGCAGAGAGCAGTTGTGTGAAGTATCAGTTTCAGGTAGGGCGGTCATCAAAGGTCTCTAAAGAAGTGACATTTAAGGTAGAGTTTCAAGAATAGGAAGGACTAGACTTGTGAACAGTTGAAAACAACCTGATTGGGTGGGAGAGAACTTGACATCTTTGAGGAACTGAGAGTTCTTGGATCACAGTGTTGTAAGAGGGACAATACTTGAAGTTGGGAGCATGGCAGACTCTCAGTTGCCCTTGGTGAGGAGTTTGGATTTTATACTAAGGGTGAAGGAAGATGTGGATGGGTTTTGAGCAAAAGCATTGTGGGTGAGGGTAATATAATCTGATTTATATTTTAAGAAAGTCATTCTAGCTACTGTGTTGAGAATTGACTACAGAAGTGTAACATAGACGAGGAAAGCTCAAGTGGAAGGCTTTGGAGATGGTCAGAAGTGGAGAAAGTCCAGATCCATTTTGGAGCTAGAATCAATAAATTACTGACAGATGGAAGCAGTAGATAAAGGAGGGAGAAATAAGGGTGATGCCTAGGTTTCTGTCTTTTAGCAATTGGATGAATGGTGTTGCCAATTAGAGAAAGAGGAAAGACTTGGGGTAGGAGCAGTGTGTGGGTCAAACAGAACCTAGAGATCATTTGTTAACCTTTTAACTTTCAGATGTCTACATCAAACCCAGGTTTTGATGAGAACCTGGAATGATGGACAGTTTTCCAGGAAAATGCAATTTAACAAAAGAGACTCTTGAATAGATGACTAATTTAGGCAAATATTCATGGAAGAAATAAAATGGATAAAGAACTCCCCTACAAAAGTGTATGATCCAGATTGCAGCACAGAAGAGCTCTACTGGTCTTTTAAACAAGAATAACTTTAGTACTATTGACTAAATAGTACTAAAGAATAACTTCAGTACTATTCCAGAACATAGAAGAATAAAAATTCCCAAAATTTTAAAATGAATCTTACAATACAAAAATCCAACAAAAATTACACAGAGAACCATAGAACAATTTCAATTAAAATTAGCCAAAATTCTAAGTCAAACATTGAGAAACATAATTTAGCAGCTTATTAAAGGAATGATATGTCATAACCAAGTGAGATTTATGCCAGAAACACGAAGTTGGTTTGATATTAGGGAATCTATTAATACATTAATTACTAATAGATCTAGGGAGAAAAAAATCATTATGAATCTTTCCATATATTTCAAAAAGCTTTTGAAAAGAATTCTACATCTCTGTTTCAAGTTTTATAAAACCAAGTAAAATAGTAGAAACTAGATATTCTTTAATATGATAAATCTCAGCCCAAAAGCCATTATCATGCTTCATGGAGAAACTAAATGCATTATTACGAAAATCCCCAATGCATGGGGAGACTCCCTAACAAAAAGGTATCAGTTATAAGTGACACTAATCCCACTCGTGAGGGCTCCACTCTCCTGAGAGCACTATGTGATTATCCCCACAAAGGCTCTACTTTTAATGCCATCACATGGGAGGCCAGAGATTCAGCATATGAATTATTTTTGGGGGCAGGAGGTTGGGGGGGCGGACACAAGCATTTCAGTCCATAATATGGGGTCAGTCTCTGGGATCAGAAGTTATGACATTACAGGAAGGAGAGCAGGTGTCTTGGAAAGGCCAGGAAAGTGGGATATTGAGACTGAAGATTTCGGAGGTGGGAAGTCAGTGATGATGAGAAAATCTGAGAGTCTGGCTGTGGTGACTTAGAAGAAAATGCTATAGGAGGTGAGGCCTCAGAGAACTGAGAAGCCAGAGCATAAAGATGGGTCATTTGTGATAGTGTTGTAATTACTACCAAGGCTGACAGGAACTGAGTGAACACAGGGGCCAGAATGATGAACACATAAGTCAGAGGGATGGTGTAATGTTAGCAGGGAAGTTCAGAGAGGAGAGGCAGTGGGCAGCAAGGAGACTACCTGCTTTTCCACTTGGCCAGGAAGTAATAGGATAACAGAAAAAAAAAAAGCTTTTCATTGAGAGAGGGTATCAGGGGAGGTGGGAGCCTCAGAAGTCAGCCACATTTTAGTTAAAAGAAGGAGTCAAGGAGATATTTTCTTCCAAGAGAAGGCTAAGGGTATTAGGGACTCTGCTGCTGACAGAGTGCATTGTGGGGCTTGACAGGAATACTTCGAGAGGGTGGGGAAGGGTAGTAGATTGAGGCAGAGGAGATGTATAAACAGCATCAGTAAGAATGTGGACGATAATGGCTTTTGGTAGTTAGTAAGGCAAAGAGGGATTTGAAACTGAATGGGATTGATTTTGAGAGATTTTTTTTTTTTAACTTTATTGGAGAACTGTGTTTTTCCAGGACCCAACAGCTCCAAGTCAAGTTGTCCTTCAATCTTAGTTGTGGAGGGCGCAGCTCAGCTCCAAGTCCAGTCACCGCTTTCAATCTAGTTGCGGGGGGGGGGGTGCAGCCCACTATCCTATGTGGGAGTCAAACTGGCAACCTTGTTGTTAAGAGCACACGCTCTAACCAACTGAACCATCTGGACACCCATCGGTAGCTAAGCAGCCACTCAGCTCAAGGTGCCGTGTTCAAATCTTAGTTGCTGGGGGTGCAGCCCACCATCCCATGTGGGAGTTGAACCAGCAGCCATGTTGTTAAGAGCACGCACTCTAACCAGCTGAGCCATATGGCCACTTACCAGCAGCTCAGCAGCAGCTCAGCTCAAGTTGTCTTCATTCTAGTTGTGGAGGGCGCAGCTCACTGGCCCATGTGGGAATCGAACCGGCAACCCTGTTGCTCAGAGCTCACATTCAAACCAACTGAGCTACCCAGCTGCCCTGGCTTTGAGAGATTTTTAAAGGAGGAAGTTTATAGAATTATCACTTGAGCCTCATACTTCCCTGGATGGTCCCACAGCTCATGGGGCTACCATGCTGTGAGTTTTCTGACAGTGTTTTGAGGCCCACAGAGTAACTGAATGTGGAATGTGTAGAACAACCACCAACTATTCTCTTCCTGCACACAGTTACTTTAAGGACAGTGACCCTTCCGCCCAGTTGGATTCTTTGAATTATTGTTTCATCCGTTCCCACAGCATTTAATAATGGGGCTTTTTATACAGATGTCAACTTGAGATTTTCTTCAATTTAGAGGTCTGAACCAGATTTCCTAAGTAGGCCATTTCATAATACATTTTTATATGAATGTTCCACTTACCTTAAAGAGTGTAGTAATTATAAAAAATAACATGTGTTTCATTTTATTTTATTTTGAGAGTAAATGAAGTGGGTGAGTTTTAAACACTCCTTCAGTGTCCAAAATTGTGCTTTGTGAGTTTTGACCCAGCAATTACACTTCTGAGAAATGATGTTAAAGATGGAACTGGTTGTGCACAGACATGTGTTACAAACGATTCTAATTGGGAGAGACTGGGAGATGCCTAAATGCCCAGCTAGAGCGTGGTTAATAGATTGATCCATTCATATGCTATCCCATGCAGTCATTAAAAAGAAACATTTAGATTATATTAATTGACTGGGGAAGACATTTAACAGTGAGTAAAAAGTAAATGCTTGTTTTAGAGCTGCAGAATCCCATTTGTTGTAAAAGGTGAGGATGTATATATTCATTTTCTCAGTAAATTGTTGAGCCTATTAGGTGCAAGGTACCATCTTAGATGCTGGGAATAGAACAATACCCAAGAGGTCCTTGGCCTCACAGAGTGTATATTTTAGGATAGACAGATGGTAAACAAGTAAAGAGGTAAGAATTCATGATAGTGGTTTGTGCTAAGGAGGAAGAAAGTGTGGGAGACTCATAGTGTGGAAGGAGGAGAGTCAAGTTAAACCTCTTTAAGGAAGTGACATTTGAGCTAAAACTTGAAGGATGAGATGGAGCCAGCAGTAAGCACAGTGGGGGGAAGAGCATTTCAGAGAGAATGGCCAAGACAGATGTCTGAAGCAGCTTAGAATGTTCCAGGAATTCAGTGAGGGCCAAACAAAAGGAGTGAGGGCAGAGCGGTAGAAGCTGAGGTTAGGGGTGAGGTGTGGGTGGTGGTGATGGTCACTTAGGCCTATGGGCCATGGTTAGGAAACTGGATTTTGTTCCAATTGCAGTAAAAGGGGTCCTAGTAAAGAACTGTCCTCAACAAACAAACAAACAAACAAACAAACAAACAAACAATCAAACAAACAAACAAAACTCCTCAAGGGCCTTTGTGTGTGTGTTGGGGTGGGGAATGGGGTGATGTGGGCAGGGGAGCTGGAGCTGGAAGGGTTGCTGATGGATTAGATGTGGTGAGGAGGGAAAAGGCAGGACACAGGACAACTTCCAGGTTTGGGGCTTGAGCAACTTAGTGGAAATTGGTGTCATTTAAGGAGATAGTGAAGATTGGAAAAGGTCCAATTTTATTGAGGGGGAGGGAGAGGATATAGATAGATATTAAAAGTTTGATTTGTGACATACATTCATTTTTTTTTTACTGTAGTATCTGAATGGCATTGTCACATGGGTAACTGGATATTTGAAATGGAAAGTCATGGCAGAGGGCTGAGCATAAGACTGGCTGAGATGACTTAAGGACTAAGTATAGAGAGAAGTCCCAGGTTAAATCCAGGGTGTTGAAGTTAGGTGAAGGAGGGA